CTAGACTAGGGTTCTCACGCATACAACACCTATCGAAACGAACATTTATACGAAATAACGAGTGTGATAATTATAGATACAATGTAAATGTACCCACCTGAAAGCAACAATAATTCAGAAACAAAGCTCGAAAGGATAGGGTTTAAGATCAACACCTCGAAACACCTACACGAAATCAAGATAACCTCTCAATTACAACTAATCCAACAATCACATGAACTTAGTCGAACTCGTCGACTAAGTGGCTCATGGGAAATTCTCGTGGAATTATGGAACATTCGACTCGACTCAAACCAAAAAGGAAAAACACACGGAAAGGCCATCTCATAATCTACTCAGACACTTATCATGAAATTTATACCACTTACAAGACATGCCAAGAGGACATCATATATTAAAATTCATAAGTTAACCTATCCAACCAATATTTCGAGCAAATTAACAATTAACCCACATTTTCTAGTTAAATAGGCAAATGAACGGTTAGGTTCTAAAATTTTAACACCAAATTCTCACTATTGAACATATCAATATCACTAAATATCAGCCATAACACTTACACATGTGATTTTATAAAATTAAAATAAGATTACAGCAAAAACAAGCATGAATTTAAAGTCTGACCTAATGAACGATTTAAGTTATGCAATTTTTACACAAACAACGACAACATGTGTGGATCAACATATAAAATGTTCAGCTCCAAATATTAAGCACACGATTTATAGGAATTCTTGCAAGATTCAGCAGAAATCATATTTTTATCAAAAACCCATTAAAACGAGCTCAATATAATCTGGGATTTTTATATCACATAGCACATTATCAAATGAGCATATAAACCAAAATTCAACCATTTTCAGCAAAGGGTCGATTTTTCATGATTTATACAGGATTCTACAGAAACTTCCAATTAAATATTTATCCTAGCAAATGAATTTCAAAAATTATGAAGTTTATACACAATGACAAGATACATCAGAGGAACAACATATTAAAATTTCAGCATTTTTGGATAACAACTCGATTTATCATGAATTTCTCAAACAATAGCATCAACAACAAGTTCAAAAATTCATAACTCAATATCTAGAACTCCAAATGACACAAGGTCAAAACCATTACTGTAATGCCCCGTTTATTTATGAATAATTTTAGATATAGAACACCAAAGAGGAACAAAAGTTCGAATACAAATCCAGCCCAACGGGCTAATGACTCGACCTACTAAATATAAAAATGAGAGGACGCGCAAACATAATTGCGGCCTAGAGACAAATGAACCAATACAAGAGAAGACAACATAACCACTGCGACATGCCTAGCCTGCTATCATCCTCCACAACTCGGACCCAAAATAAAAGAGAGAAACAAAGAGCAGAAACAACATAAATAACAGCAAGAAACATCAACGAGCTGACCCTGAACTAAATTCTAGCCAAGCCTGATGTGCCTTTTTTATCACCATCTGGATTGGCATCTGTATTCTCGAACAGCCACAAATTTCTCGATTTCCACAACCACCATAAAAGGTAGGTTGTGAGTTGAATTCTGTGCTCTGCAACAGGTGAAGATTTAATGGTGCAAATATGGAACCACCAGTTCCTGACAAACAGCCTTCAGAACAGATACCATCCCAACTCAATGGACAATGTTTCCACAATAAACGAGCTCTTGGACAGTGAAAGAAAATGTGTTCCACTGTTTCAGGGGCATCACCACAGAAATGACAAAGGACATTCACATTAATACCTCTTTTACTCAAGTTAGCTTTGACTGGGAGAGAACCTGTCACACATTTCCACAGGAAGTGCTTTATGGTGCCCTTCACATTCAAATTCCAAGTTCTCAGTCTGGCTTTTCTAAGAATGATAGGATCAGTGCTAGAGCAGGGAATATCCAAGCCAAGTCTTTTTTGATTAATCAGATAATCATAAGTGGAAGAAACAGAGAAATGCCCTTTTTTCTCTAAGCACCAGTAAAGCTCATCATTTTTGGAGGGGTTAAGAGAGTTTATGCTGAGGATGGCTTTGCTTTCCTTCTCATTGAACAGATTATTAACCAGCCAGGAGTTCCAGCTCAGACCATTTTCCTGCATTAGCTCTTTAACCCAAATAATATGACCTTGAGCTATATCCAAGAGAATTGGTTTAACTAAAGGCAATTCAGGAATCCAATTGATGTCACAGATTCTGGTGGTTGCACCATTATGTATCTTGACTCTGAGTCCCTTAGCAAGGATAGGTAGGCACTCTAACCAAGTATTCCAAAGCCAAGACCCATTCTGAGTTTTAGAAGCCTCAAAGATGGAGCACTCAGGATAATATCTGTCTTTGAGTACTCTACTCACAAGGATATCAGGTTGAGAGACCAGCCTCCACAGCTGTTTGCAAATAAGGGCTTGATTAAATGATCTCACATCTTTGAAGCCTATACCTCCCTCAGCTTTAGATAGAGTTAACAATTTCCAAGCTTTCCAATGGATGCCTCTGTCTTGAGATTCTCCTTTGCTCCACCAGAATTTTGCACTGAGGCTGGAAATTGTCTTGCAGATTGACACAGGAAGCATGAAGCAGGACATTGTGAAAACTGGGAGAGCATTTATCACAGCCTTCAAAAGAACTTCCTTCCCAGCAATGGAAATCATTTTATTCTTCCAGTTCCAGAGTTTGGCTTTGACTGAGGCAATGACATAGGAGAAGACTTCAATCTTAGATTTACCTATTCCCAAAGGTAGACCTAAATATCTGGTAGAAGTGTGAAGCTGAATTCCATTCATAACAGTACAAATACTTCTTTGCACATTAGGAGGAGTGTTTTTACTGAAGAAAGCAGAAGATTTCTGCAGATTCACTCTTTGACCAGTGAATAATCTATATTTTTCAAGTAAAGTCATCAACACTTGTCCTTGGGAAGCAGCAGCCTTGCAGAAGAATAAAGCATCGTCAGCAAAGAACAGATGAGTTAGTTCAGGTCCATTTCTAGAGAGTTTGATGCCAGATAATTCACCTCTACTCAGGGAATCAGAGATAAGTGCAGATAAAAGCTCAGTGACTATAATGAACAAGTAGGGGGATAGGGGATCCCCCTGTCTGATCCCTCTGGAAGGGTAAATAACACCAGTTAAAGAACCATTCACTGAGAAAGAGTAGGATGTAGTGGAGATGCAAACCATCAGCAGCTTCACAAAATTCAAATTGAACCCCATCTGGATCATAATTTTCTCTATGCAGCCCCATTCGACCCTATCAAAAGCCTTCATGAGATCAAGCTTCAAAGCCATAAAAAAGTTCTTGCCTGTTCTATGTCTGTTCAAAAAGTGGAAAACCTCCTGAGCCAGTATGACATTGTCAAGAAGTTGTCTGTTTTGGATGAAAGCTGATTGACTGTCACTAATGCAAGAAGAAAGACAACTCTTTAATCTGATAGCCAGAAGTTTTGAGAGAACTTTGTAAACCACACTGCAAAGAGAAATAGGCCTGAACTGGTTGAGAGAAGAAGGAGATTGACATTTTGGAATAAGGGTGACAATGGTATGATTCCAGTATTGCAACATCATTCTAGAATTGAAAAAACTCTGAATAGCTTCAACTAGGTCCCTGTGAATTAGATTCCAGCAATGCTGATAGAAAAAGGCTGTCATACCCTCTTCTCCTGGTGATTTGTCAGGGTGCAAACTGAATAAAGCATTCTTGATCTCTTCTTCACTGAAAGGTAAAAGGAGCTGGTTATTCATGTCTTCAGAGATAGACTAGGGAATGAGATGCAAAATGGCTTCTCCACCAGGAGAGCCTTCAGAGGTGAACAAATGAGAGAAGTGACTAGTAATGTGTTGCTCAATCTCCCTTTGATTGGTGCAGGTTCTATTGTTGTCAGTGGTCAATCTGGTTATAGCATTCAACCTTCTTCTTTGAATGATGTAGGCATGGTAAAATTTAGTATTGGCATCACCCTCCCTGAGCCATTCTAATCTGGATTTTTGAGCCCAAAATTTTTCTTCATAAGCAAAAGCTGCATCAAGTTCATATTTCACTGTATCCCATTCTTCCCAGTTTTCCTCTCTTCCTCTTGATCTGAGGTTATCCAACTTAGATGACAACTCAGCTATCTTCTCTTGATTCTTTGATTTGAACTTGGAACTCCAGATAAGAAGAGCCAATCTAGTTTGCTTCACTTTTTCCTTTAATCTATAGAATGGGGTACCTGTTTGAGGGATGTTCCAGGCCTGCTGAACTACTTCATTGAATCCCTCCTTTGTAGTCCATCTTTTGTCAAAGTTGAATCTTCGTTTGAATCTGGTATCCTGGGAACCGGTGTTGAGGATGAGAAGGGAGTGATCTGAAGCTGTTCTGATTACATTCATAATCTTAGCACGAGGGTGTTTTGTGTGCCAATCAAAGGAAGCAAATCCCTTGTCCAGTTTTTCTTCCACATATCCTTCATTTGCCCTATTGTTACCCCATGTAAACTGGTGCCCTTCCATATTAATCTCCTCCATATCCATATTAAAGATAAAGTTATTGAAGCCATCAAAACTGTTATTGCTTCTGGTTCTGCCTCCTTTTTTTCCTCATGAGAGCTAATATCGTTCCAATCTCCAATTATGAACTACAAATCACCCCAGGATTGCTTGTCCTCCTCCAATTCCATTCTCTGGGCTTCTCTTATCATCCTATCAGCATTCATATAAACAAATATTCCCCAGCCCTGATCTGTACCTCTCAGCTTGTAGTGGACTGCAATGTAAAACTCTTTGGACATTATTTGGATAATCTCCACCTCTTGTTGTCAAAGTAAAAGAAGGCCTCCACTTAAACCTCTAGGGTCCACAATGAATTTTCTGTCTCCAAACCCCAGCTTTCTACAAGTAGATTTCACAAAGGCACTGTTGTTTTTAGTTTCTGATAGAAAAAAGAACCTTGGGTAGTGAGTCCTGAAAGACTCTTTGATTTGGGAAATTGTAGAGGGCCCACCCAGCCCTCTACAATTCCACACCGCACCTAACATTTATGGGTTGGGTGCCATTTGAGGCTGGCATCCCCCACCTGTTCATTTGTCATCTTGTTCTTCTTCCCCGAGGCTTTGTAAATATCTTGCTCTTCCTTATCCTTGCTCTCTGAAGAGATAATGTCCCTCTCTCTTTTGGCACCTGTCACTAGTTGTTGAGAATTTATAGGCTCAGCCGTCCTCTGAAGTCTGCCCACTCTTGAGGATGATCTCTTCCAAGTACTGGTCTTAATAGCAATAAGTGCCAATCCCTCCTCTGGTCTGTTATCAGTGGGATGAGTAAGAGGTGCAGAAGATAAAGGTGCTTCTATTTCCATCAATCTATCTGATTCAGGATATGGACAGGCTGGTGCAACAATCTCCATATTGTATTGTGGCTGAGAGGTAGCTTGCTCTGATAGAGCCAGGTGATTTGATGGTGTGGGTTCCTTGACTGCTGATGTTGAAGCAACTGTGTCTAGCAAGGTAACCTCTTGAGGGTTTTTGTTGCTGGGAGTATTCTGATGTCTTTCAAAGTTGGTAGCAGAAGGGCTTAATGGTTGATTGGAATTGACTGTGTTTGGTACCTGGTCAGAGGTGGGAGATTTCCTGGAACTTGATGGACTGGATTGATACCATGGGGGGATTTCCTCAGCTTTGATCCACTCTCCGTATTGTCCATCATTCAGTTTGCGGTTTTTAATATCCTCGAGCCTCTTGCTACAGCTTTTGTCTAAGTGTCCGATGATTCCACAGTAATGGCATAAATTCACCAATCTCTCATATTTAAAACCTACTGTCACTATCTGGTCCTCGAGTCTGATTTTAGTGCATCTGGGAAGAGCTTCCTCGAGATTAATCGAGACCATAAGTTTTAGAACTTTGCCTCCATGAGGACTTGTATTTATAACAACCACATTCTTAACTTCTGGGAATACCATACCTATTTTGAGCCCTACTTCCGCACTAAGCCAGTCAAGAGGGAGATTGATTACCTGGGCCCAAAGGTTCAGAACATGAAAGCTTGAGTGGGAGCTGTTCAGTCCCTTTTCCCATTCCTTCAAGATTAGATATTGATTATCGTAAATCCAGTTTGTTGCGCTGACAACCTTCTTCATATCTTCTTTGTTGTGGAAGATGAACTGGAAATAATTAGGTTCAAGCTCTTTAATTTCCATGGGTTTCTGCAATTTCCAAATGTTATTCATCGTCCTCTTTATCCCTATCCAACTTGCCCGTCTGTCACCAATGACTTTTCCAAACAGGCTGCGGCTACATTCTTCAGCACTAATTCTGATGTCTTCTTGTGCTATATCCGTAATATGATCTTCCTTCGCCGATAAGGAGAAACTCTGAAAATGTTTCGACAAATCTTCATCCCTTCCAGCGTGTTCTGACTCTTCCATTATATCCCCAAACTAACGCTTGAATACCTCAATAGATCCTGAATGTAGTTGGAATCCCACAATATAAAATCTCAGAGAGTGAAAAAAGATCAGATCAACGACGATAAACCGGTCCCATAAGAGATAATCGCCGGAAAACGGCAGCTCCCAAAAGGAGAATGGAACAACCCAATCATAGAAATATGTTCACTAAACTTCCTAATTGTCTTTAAATGTCTAAATGTTTATTATTATTAATTAACTGATGCGTGTATTATATATATAAATATTATCCGAATTTTATTTTATTGTCGTGCGAACGAACCGAGCTAATTTATCGGCTAAGTCGAGCCCGAGAGCTGAGCCGTATGTCGAGCCAGATAGAACCGGACCCGCAACCCGGTCCGCACGCCTATTTAAACCGCACGCCCGGCCCGAGTCTTTGAACCTAGCACCCTGCCTGAGCGAACCGGCCCCCGCCCGACCTAGTTTTCTTTCCTCTCTTGTGCGTGTGTGTATGTGTGTTTTCTTGTGTGCCAAGACTTGTGAACCCTAGCCTATTATTAATCTGCTCTCTCTTGTCCAAAACACATCACGCCCGTAGACAAAATCTCTCTCACCCCACAGTCATATTCCCTCAGCATCTCTCTCACTCTCTTGTCAAATTTTTCTCGCTGTCATCATCCCTTCTCTCTCGCTTTATCCGATCGCCACCTTCGCCTTTCTCTCTCACATTTTGATCGTCACTGCTGCACTCCCTCCCGACGTCGCTCATTGGCCTCAGGCCCTCGCGACCTCCTCACGTCGCCGCTTCCCCGCTCGCAAGACCCATCGCCGAGTTCCTGCTCACCCCCGTGTCGCACAGCAATTCCTGCAAACCGTCCCCTCCGCGCGCAGGCCCTTCCTCCGCGACAACAGCACCCCAGCAGCGAGCCGAAATGCCACGCAGGTCCTGTTCCCGCCGCCCTCAGCCGCTTCCTCACCTCCGCGAGCTGAGCGTGTCGCCGCCGAGCGCCACCGTGAAGCTGTGCGCTGTCTCCGACGTCCCGTCAGCCCTCATTTGATCCCTTCTCGCATGTTTCCCAAGAACGGTATCGAGACTCATTCCCTCTTTCGATTACCTACGTGTTATGTATCATGCATAACTTTAATGTTTATGTTTCATTGGTTTTAAAATATTGTCGTGTGTGTATGTTGTGATCTTTGGCGATTCGTATGAATCGAATGAGATCACGTTGAAATCGTGTTTAGTTGTTGTGGATTTGGAACCATACAAAGTCCTTGGCCTTATGGTGAAGGCCTCAGACGATTTTTATGATTATCAACTCATTTATGATTTATCAAACGTGAATAGTCACAGTTTATTTGATAAATTCGTGATAAATTGTATGCTTCTCCTATTAATGTGAAATTGTGTGTAAGGTCCTCTGATGAATTTATATGTCGTGTAAAAATTTTAGAATTTAATTCCAACTGTAGCTATTTTTAATTGTGTTGATTTATGGGCAGAATATTGTAAATTGCATATTAAATTGATTTGTGCTCCAAATTGGCTGAATTTTAATATAGTCTCTCTGAAATATTTACATGTTGTGTAAAAATTTCATGATTTTTGGACTTCGTTTGCTAGGGTTAAAAATTGTTTGAAGTGTTCTGCAGAACCTTGATTTAATTATGGTAAATCGACCTGTTGTTGGAAATTGCTGAATTTTGGTGTCTGAACTCATTTTATGAAGTGTTTCATGATATTAAAAATTCAGATTTAATTGAGTTCATTTTGGTTCGGTTTTGTTGAAAATTCGATTTCTGCAGAATCTTGTTTTAATTTTTATAATTCGTGTGTTTCATGTTAATAGTTGAAAATTTTATATGTTAGTCTTCACATTCTGTAGCTACTAGTATTAAAATTTCAAGTCTTATTCGTTCTTTAGGTCAGGTTGTGAACTTATGCTCATTTTGCTGTAAACTTGTTTGAATTTTATAAAATCGTGTGTTTTGAGTTTGGGGCTGAAATTTGGCATTCTGACTAAGTCCAGTGAGGTGAATTTTGTGTTAAAATTTCAGAGCTTAACTCGTTGAGTTGCTGGACCATCTTGATTATGTGATTTTCTCGGCAATTATTTTAATATGTAGTTTATTGTGTTAAAATATAATAACCGGCCCGCATGTTATTCTTGAGACTTGTTTGGATTACCCTTCATGTGAAATTGTGTGAACTCCCATGTTTGGTTGGTCGAGTCTAAGTCCAAGAGTTCCAATGTCCACAGGACTTCACGAACAACATAGTTGAATCAAGTTCGACTAAGTCTGATTGTGATTTCCTTTTTAGGTCAAGATAAGGTGTTGATTTTAATATCTTGACTTAATGTAGGTGTTTTGAGGTGTTGACCTCACTCCTATTTCGAGACTCGTACTTGAGATTTATCGCTTCAATCAGGTGGGTACATTTACGTTGTATCCATAATTATCGCACTTATTATTTCGTATAAATGCTTCGTTTGAAAATTGTTGTATGCGTGAGAAGTGAGAACCCTAGTCTTCCTTTGACAAATGCATAAACAGTGAGATGTCACCTGCTCGTTGTATCAGGGAGGAGGACGCCCTGATCCGTGTGTTTTCGGAGGGAAAAAACAGTCTACACTGTCTCCTGGAAAGGATCCCATGATCCGTGTGTGGTTCGGGGTGGGAAGGTTTCTAGTTACTTCCTTGTCGTGTTGTGATCGGAAGGTTGTTGTATGTATATAGGAGGTTTGCGATAGGGCCGTGTAGGGAGTTAGTCCTTGGATTCTATGCATACTGTGTTTATGTTTTAAAATTTTTTTATATGGGATAAACTGTGCCGGTAATGGTGAGCTTGATGGTCTTGCACACCCCCATTATTTTTCTGTTGTTTCCTCTTCCTTTTTCTTTAGGTTGAACTGATCTGGTGGCGGTAGCGTAAAGACGAACGGGGATTGATTGAATATGTTCTCGTTATATTATGCTTCCGCTTATCTATGATATTGTCAAACTGTTGCTTTGACTTGGATTTCTTTCCTGCTTTGTTTTTGGGATAAATTGATTATGTCGGTTTGAACCTTGTAATTATGTTTTGACTTTATTGTTTTTGAACATAATGAATGCTAGTTAAATTTTATAACCGTTAGTCATGCATGTATAGGTTTAATCTGACGTGTTTGTATTTTTGTTAAATTGTTCTTGGTAGATAAGTAGCGCCCTTTGATATTTCAAATTTAAATTGAGATTTTGCGAAAAATTAACTCTGATTTTTTATAAATAAATTCGGTAAACCCTTTAAAATAAAACGGGGAGTTACAGTTTGGTATCAGAGCTAGTCTGCGTTTCGGTAGACTATCTCTAGTGTTAGTGTATTCAATGACCATTCGACCACTCGCTTTCGTCTCGCCGCGCCAGCTCAAGATATGAGTTTGATTGTTTGATTTATGCTATTTGGGGCTTACGAAATCTATCCACCTTTGATTAATTTGAACTCTAGTGTTTCATGGCGAACTCTAGAGTTCCCTTATTATTGAATGAGCTAAATTTTCGGCCTATTCAATGTAGAATTATGGTTTATCGCAACACCCACAACGCTCGCAACAACCGGCAGCCATCCCCGCCCCCATCTCCGCCTCCATCTCCACCTCACCAGCAGGCCCCTCCGAACATGGACTTTTCGAGGCTCTTAGTCTAATTCCAGGGCATGCATGCGCCTACCTTTTCGGGGACTGAGAACCCCACTGCTGTGCTTGAATGGATGAAGGAGCTGGACAAGATCTTCGATGTGCTCCCTCTCCAAGATAGACAACGCATATCTCTCGCCGCTTTCCAGATGAAGGTGGATGCATCCAACTGGTGGATTGACCACTGGGCTCGGAGGCCAGAGGCTGAGCTTAACGCTGATGGTCCGAGGCAAGTTCCTCCCGCAGAGCTTTTGTGACCGGATGGAGCATGACTTACTATCATCTGCAGCAGGGCAACTCTAGCGTGGATGAGTACAT